TTTACAGTCTTGTCTTCCACGATTCTCTCGTAGATGGCACTAGCGTATTAAAAGGCTGTTCAGTCTGGCCCTCAACGATACTCATCCGAACCTTAGTGCATTTCCAGTTTTCCCGTCAGTCGCTGCCGGCAATTGGGGGGGGTCAATGGAAACGCGGCCCAACACCCACGCGCTCGCTCCCGCCTCTCAAGCGCACGAGTTCGGTCACGAAGCGGGCCGAGATCGCACGAAGATTGCCCCCTCTTGTCTACTTCGCGAGCTATGTACTATCAGTCCTGTACCCCTCCACTATATACAGCGTCAGTGCCTATTGTTCGCGATGACTTATTATTGTTCTTCAAACGATTTAAAAGTATTGCCAACCGTCAGATAAGGGCTCAAACGAATATTTAAGGACTTGTTTTTTTTTTAAATTAATTTTGATTTAACATTAAAAATGTTTATTGTTCAAAAGCATATTAAATTCAACACCCTGTCCTTCTAATAAAAAAAGGGTTAAAGTAAATGAATCCCCGAGAAATAATTAACGAAATTTATTCAATATGCGTAAGCCCTCAATGAAACGAGCATAGGATAGTTGATTACCAACTTGTTGGATTTTTCCAAATGGAATAGTGCATGTTTCGTAGACGAATTTGCGCTCTTCATACGGTCTTTTCAAGGATAACAAAGATTTATAACTGTTGTACTTTTATATGTAAAGTTGCAAAACAGAATACACTTATTGCAAAACAAAGTTTTGCATTAGCTCATTGGACAGATATGAAATAAATATAAATTTGGAACGAAATTTATCATTCCCTCTCACTCTTGAGCCCGTTACGCTCTCGCATATTAAATGAGCAGCAGGATCAAATAATTCACCACGGCAATGTCTAAATAAGCTTGATTTAGAACGGCTATAATTCAAGGGAGAAAGCTGAGTCACAACATCTAGCACAATGGCTTAAACCCAGGCTGCGTCTAATTACCTACTGGCGAAATTGTTGAACTTCCACCCACTTATTTTAGTTTCATACGCGGGAGTTTGACTTTAAGGTTCAAATTTAATGTCCAAATTTAATGAATTGTACGATGTACTCATTGTGGCTGCAGACGAATGTTCAGTTCCGAGATTTTTATAACCAATTGCAACTAATACCCGGTTCCTATATTTAACGAGCGGTCGTTAGTTACATAGCTTCGTAACTTTAATAACGACTTGTAGATAAAAGTCGTGTACGCTCGGTTCCTATATTAACAAAACGAGGCGTTTTCCTTACGAGCCGTTGCATTATCTACGGAAAGTGAGTTACTAGCGTTCCTTTAATCTTCAAGTCGTTATGAAAGTTACGAAGCTATGTAACTAACGGCCGTTCGTTGAATATAGGAACCGGGCATTAGTCAACACACGTGGTAGTTATGGCTTCGTTACGTTTGTTATCACAGTCTTTTCGTACGGGTTGGTACACTTGAAGAAAGATGGATGATATCAGTACTTTTGATACTAACCCAAATACGAAAATGAGTAGAGTAATTCTTACTTTGCAGATAATCTTCCCTCTGCTATTTGTTTATTTATTTATTTATTTAGTTGCACCAACAGAGAAGACACCTGCTGTACCTGATTGGTGCTACTCCAATTATAGGTACAAACAACATACAAATCATCAACAGCGTTACAAATTAAGAGTCAAATTAAAATTACTAATTAATAATACAAATTAATAATACGAAATAAATGAATCATTACAATAAGAATAAAAATATAACAAAGAAAAAATTACCTCTATCACACATTAATTACAAACGAAATGTCCCTTATGTAGTTAGGTTTCTTCTTCTTCTTAGTACAATTGTTAAACTACAGTCTGATGCATGTAATATTTGAATTTGTATAATTTATTTGAAATGAATTAAATTGTCGACATTTTGGTTTTTTAACCTTGTAGCATTCTTTCTCACGTCAACACAACACTTAGTCGGAAGAATATAATTAGTAATCGATATTGGTATACGAACTAACATCATTAAAATATACGAGTAGATATATGTTGCTTGTTTAAAATCGATAATAATCTTTTATGAAGAACGCGAAATAGCCATTTGAAACCATTCATATAAAGGAAACCCCATTAGGTGAAAGGAAATCCCATTAAGTTTGAAGACATTTATATACCGGAGATAGGATAATTAGCGTCTATTAACTGTTTTTGAAATATAATTTATTTTTATTTATTTATCATAATAAACAAGGTAACAAAGGGCGGACTTAATGCCCGTAAGGTTTAAAGGTATTGTAAATAATACATGCATATGTTCTTGTATAAAATAAATAACAATTAGCTTATACTTTTAACTTATCTTAGGTCGAATTTGTCTTTAAAGGTGTTCACGAACCAATATTTTGAAAGATGTCTTACTTTTTTTTGCGTTCTTACGTTATCGGGGCAAGGAGTTTTATAGCTTGGATAGTAAAGGAGTTGACAGAGAACCCGGTAAAGTGCGCTGGAATGCATAATTTATTCGTGTAAGACGACCGAAGTACCCTATCATGAGATGAGGAGAGATTAAGAATTTGTTTTTAGGTAAGAAGGGGAGGAACATCATTTAAACTTTTCTCCTATATCATACAGTTAAGTTTGAATGACATTTAGATGTTGGGATACGTCCGGGTAACACACATTTTTTGTACCGGAGATATTATCTATTGCTATTTAGCTATAAAGTTAACTGTTTTGAAATTTAGATAATTATTCCTTTGGTAAGCATTCTTGAACCGGATGGGATTAGAGAGATCACTTTTAACTTTGCAGTATTTAAGATTTTTTTAACGGTTGAGATTTCGAGGGATTATTATTATATCACTTTTAACTTTGCAGTATTTAAGAAACTTGAGGTAACTGTTGCTATTGACAGTTTACGGTATAATAGTATTTTGAAGTCTGTTGTTTGTTAGTTAAAATACCGTTTTAAAGGTGATGAAAATTTATTTTTTGTTACTTCAAAGGGATGACTGAGTTAGCAGTTCATCTGACGATAAGAGAGGACCATAGATCATCTCACTTAAATCATCAGAAATTTTAGAGATGTCGACGCGTTGCCAAATATTGAGTGTAGGTCTTCGCATACCTTAATCACAGAATGAAACGCAAGATATGAATACTTTTGCTTTAAGATTTCTATCTTCTGTGAAGTACACGGCACTTTCTTGGTTGAGTCGGACCATACAGAGCTAGCCGTGTGGAAAGTTTTTGATACTCTACCACAGTAGAATCTTTTAGGTTCTACTGAAGATGCAAACCAAAATTTAATTTATTGTGTATGCCAGCTTTACATAAGTGAAGTGAATAGAGTTAGGTATATATTCAAGATGGCACTGTTATTTTATATGTAGCTAATATCCTTTTATAATGGATAAGGTGTACTAACATTTCTCTGGTTTTAACTGCAATGATTCTTGTAGAGCTTTAGTAGAGCTCTTGTAGAGGAAAACAAAGATAACGGTATATTACCGTTATCTTTGTTTTCCTACCATTATGTTTATGTATATTTTCCTGAACGTAGGCGGATGGTCCATGTTTTATGCTCCACAGGGATTCTATTTTTCTCTTGTTGCATTAACCTTAACAAAGGAAAGTGTAAAATCATTATCTTCATTTTCTATCTCTTGATTCTAATACACGAATTACTTGTTTAGGATTTAGTTAACATGCAAACAAAATCTGCGCCGTAAGTGTTAAATTACACCGATTGTATACGTTTTATAAAAAAAAAGTTACATAGATAGAAATGGATGGCATGGATATTCCTCGAGTATTTTGGCAGACCTCTATCGGGATTTACCTAATTTGTCGAACATTTGTGACTGATGTTATCTCAAGTTCGTGCACGACTTGATTTAACTGGGAGCGAGTTTACCTCCTGCTGAAAGGCTCTTCCCGTGTGGTAATCTTCCGTGGGCAGTTTGGAAGTCTCTAAACAGACTTCAATTTGGTGTAGGAAGATGCCAGGATAACCGAGTGAAGTGAGGTTTCTCCAAGGACAATAAATGTCACTATGGAGAGGTCCAAACTATGGCGCATTTGCTGCAATGTCGTTTATGTCCCTCCTTTTGCACCTACGAAGACCTGCTTCAAGCCAATTCTGCTGAGGTGGATGTGGCCAAAAACTGGCCAAACGAGATCTAGATAACAATTCCGACTCGAAAAGAATAAGACTGGGAGCACAGCGGTGTCAGCGGTCAAACTGAAGGACTGCCTTTGAACGTGAAGGGAACGGAGGCGGGAACATTCTAGACCACCGCGGCTGGCACCGATGATTCATCCTGTTGCGTGGCACCGGAGTGGCGTGCCCTTAGCGTCGCTCCGTCGTCGCGGCGTACGTTAATTGACAGCTGAATCGGTATCGGGCACGAATTAATCGGGCGCACTGAATTATTTATGTCGGCGTGCGGTGCCCGGCCCGGGCGAGCAACAGGTCCGCGCCGCGGGGAATGTCGGGATGCAAGGGATGAGGACTGCGGCGCTAGGGTTGCCGCTTAACGCTGTGGATGTTGTAGCGTAGTTACTTAGTTTGGTGGAATATGCGAAATGTCCGGTACATTATTTATTGCATATAGATAAAGTAATATGTACGGTTTGCAGAAACTGGATGTGAAAGGGCGAGGATTGGGCTATGTTCAGTGGTACGCTATTGATGATAATGATATTGATGTAATTGTTCTGAATTTACTTTTCTGTTAATTTATTTTTGTCCCTAGAATACTGTGCGGAAATAATTTTTAAATAATAGAAATATAGGAATCATTTACGTTTACGTCGATTTATTTAAATGTGATTCATCAATTTTCTTTATTTCCAAATTAAACTCTCACACGTTTGAGGTTTATTATTTTATTTTAGTAACAACGTACTAAGCGTTCAAATTTATCGTTCATTTTCATTGTAGTGAAATTATTAACTGTTTTAAACCACTCATAACGGATCGTCACTTCGGCGTTAGAGGCTTGGAACTTTCAAATGCTTTTTATGATGAAAGCAATTTCAACCATCAAAGGAGAGAATTTCGTTAATAAAACATCGGGCGCACACCCCTGCGCCGCGTGTCGGGGGGCGGCGGCGGGGGTGCGGGGCGAGGCTAGGAATGCAGCCTCTTGTTCGTTTTGGGGAGCGTCTGCGCAGGTAGGCGCGCCGCAGCCTCCCCCCCTCCGCCACCCGCCCGTTGCTAGGCGATACAGGTTTTGTAACGTTGTTGCCTTTTTTTCCCCATTTCAAATTTCCCCCCACGTCCAATTTCGCCGGATCGTTACCATCGATCGGAGATGTACTCGGGCGTACACCGTCATTATTGATGATTGTGTGAACTTCGCTTTTATAAGTACGCTATAAAATAACGTAGAGTTAGCCTCGCTTGGTCGTAAAAAAGGTATTTTTTTTGCTGATCATCTCGAATTATATGTTAGGTACTTAATAGAAGATGCAATTCAATTCACTTAGATTATTATGGACAGTATGATAACGATCACAGCGTGATTCTGTTTTGAAATACTAGTAGACTGAATAGAATTAGTGGGACGTGCAAATGTTTGTTTTTTAAACCCACAACAGAATTAGCCTTCTTTTTAGGACGAAACCGAAACAGACACGGAGGCACTCGAAAATAGAAAAAAGCATAATGGAAGTCCGCGGCGTATCCAGCAAAACTTACGATGAAGCCTAACGCGTTGCCGATCATAAATAAAAAGGTGGACCCGTGTAAGTCGGCTATAGGGCAACAAAGCCCTTTATTTTTTAGCCGTTCCCTTCGCTCTGAGGTCAGGCGAGTAGTAAAAGTAAGGAATTGCGTCCAAATAAAACGCGCCGACCGTCCATGGGAGCCGAATCCAGGTCATAAATAGTGCGACCACCAGAACAATGGTGATTTCATCCTTTTTTAAAAATAAACACCAAAAATAAAAATATCAGTGGTGTTTTTAATACTAGGACAAATAGGTTAAGTTAACCAGGCGAATATAGCAGTCAAAATGTTAGGGTAGCTTGTACAAAGAAATATAAATAGCTTTTGTAATTTTTGTACGAGGAATAATGTCCCAGATTTAATAATAGCCTTTTTCAAAGAAAACATTTTACTATAGTAGACGAGAAGCCTTAATCAAACTCACAAGTCCAGCGTAAAAGTCTATTAGAGTAGTATTATTATTTTTATAACTTATCACATAAAAAATATTTAATCAAATAGTTCTCGATATGTCTACGCATTTTATGCTTATCAAAAGGATTCCGTTTTATTTTACTTGACGACGGTTCATAATAAAATATTTTATAACTTAACAATTGAAATTTCTATTAAATAAACTGTGAATACTAACACTAGCAATAAAATAAATAACGTTTAAAGTTCACACTTTACGTGGTTTGCTTGCAAAGTGGACCCGACCGACGCGACGCGGTAAATCGGATTGTGCATTATTAAGTAGCTTTTAAGTAAAATTTTGACAATCTAAGTCCATTTTAGTGTATCTTAACAACGCATTAGGAACATTTTGAGGGGACAAGTTTAATCTGCTTGGTTATTTGTATCATTCAGACGTCTAGTGACGGAGATTAAGAATTGAGTAGCGGTCTTATCTATGCCTGCTGGATGATAATGGAACTTCGCGCAGCTTAAAGTACGCGTAAGTGGTTCACGTGTTAAAATCGATGATAAACTTAAACTATTAAAAATAAAGTGTTCTTTTAATCGCATCGCGCTCACGAAATTATCACACTTTTATTTTAATAAAGTTAGATGATAAATATGACTACTTGGAAACTTCTACTACTGCATTATGAAGAGCTAAGGACACGATATCGTATACGTTTTTGTAAGCAATAAAGCTATGATTAAGTTGCATTTTTTACATCAAATTATATAGTGTTATGGAAATTGTTAGATGTTTCATGTTACTAGTAGTTACATTGTTTTCCTTTCCATTAAATATATAAAGGTTTGCTCAACTTCTATTCGTAATATTTTGAGACGAATTATTGGAAGGTATTATTTAATTAGCAAGAATTAAAACGTATCATTTGCGAGTTTTACTTTGTATTAATTGATATCATTTTCGTATATACTATTTTAAAAAAAAAGAACGTTGCTTTAAAAACCACGATGAAAAATTACTGCGTTGATTGTAAATAAGACCAAGTTCAGCGTAAAGAATACCATTAATCTTGCTTTAGGTAGAAATAAGACTGGCATTTCCACAAAATAATAGTCGCCTTAACTTATTTCACAGTCGCTGGTTATTCTAAAATGGTCTTACCGAATTTCATCTGAAATTCATCGTGATAATTTAAAGATTTCTGTTTTTCCGTTTAACTTTATACATGAAACATTGAGACCCAAAGTTTTTGTGGCCTTGGAGAGTGGACTCCGAAATATAAGGTGCTAGGTTTAATTAAAATGCATGTCACTGTATTTAATACGATGTTATATGTAATAAATACAGTAATTAATGAATAAAAATATATGAAATGGAGTGTTTATATGATAGAAAAAACATATTTGTTACTTCTATCATATAAACATTCCCCTGGTTTCTATAATAATCCTTTGTAGTGATTCTTCAGAAAATTGACTGAGGGATCATTCGTAGGATTATTTAAATTACATGCTTCACTTAACTATAATGCCTTTAGTTGTATGTATATATTTTTTGAAACCGTGATAGCTCAGTGTCCACTTTCATCCGATTTTCCTTATTTCTCCTGCGTTCCAATTTTGCCCTGGCTTTTGTAAATTATTGTTCAGTTTACTATTATGTAAAAAGATTTTAAAGAAATCGTCCCCGGAGCATATTTAATTTAAATTGAATTTACCGTTGTATTTAATTTTCTGTTATTACTTCTCATAGAAATCCATTTTTTGTTTTTTTCACCGTTATCGTATCGAGTACTTTACAAAATTCATAATTACGGATGGACTTAGTTATTGTACGTTCTGAAATTAAAAATTTTAATACTAATTCATTCTGCCATTGAATACCGTAGTTTTTTATTTGAGTAGAATTTACATACAAAGATCTTATAATGTGTTGAATTTATGGAGCTTTGGTGTACTTGGATTTAATTTAATGAATTATAGAGTTGGTTTATAGAGCTTGGTCATATTTCTTATGTGAAGGTGGTGTATATATTGATAGATTATCAGACCAGGAGTTATGCCTTACTATGGATGCTTGTTCATTAGGCTTGCGTGTCAGTTTCTATCAAAAGGCTTTACTCATCAAGGAAATGCACATGCACTCATGCTCCATGAGTGCATGTGCATCATGGTTCTTTCCGGGACTTCGTACCAAAGGTGGCGTCCAAGAGATCCTAGACCCAGTCAATCTATTTCAGCGAAATCCGTATTGGCAACCATTGAGGTCGTTTTTTCTACTCGTAGGTAGGCGGTTCTTAAGTATAAGCAGCCTAATATTTATAGCCATAATATATTTGCAATTTTAATATCCGAAATGACGTGACCGCTCCTTGTCATTTTAAAATAGCACAGAATCGAAGAACTAATTGCATAGTATACACGCTTATAGTTTGCCTAATCTAATACATTTTGACATATCGCGATTAAAATGTCCAGGTATTTCAATCATAAAAGTAATTGACATTCAGATGTTACTGTCAAACTAGGCAAGGATAAGCTTAAAATTATTAATTAATTGATTGCTTATTCATAGATATTACTGATTTGAGAAATGAAACCATTTTTAAGTTAGCAAAGATAACGTACGTTTCACGTACAGACAGAATGATTATAATAATGGTAAAATAAAGGTCTCCAATGACTTAATAAATATTTGAGATATATGAAACCTGGGATAGAGGGGATTACAAAAATATACATTTAATCTCATTGTTACCGAAATAACAACTATGTCTGAAGATATAAATAGAAAACTGCATGATTAGGAATACAAAGGAGATATAACGATGTTTAAAAATGGTTAGATATAATTGTAATTGTGCCCGCGGCAATTTCGTGGTTCATCGCATTCCCTGAGAACGAGGTTAGTTCACTAACAGTTAAAGATTTTGTTTAAAGTTAAATTTTGTTTTAGTTAACTTATACAAGTTACGGAGATTGAAGGATTGATCTTCGACCACAAAGTTATGGAAATAATTGAAACATTACCGATATTCAATTAGCACATGATCCAATGTTCAACGTTCCAAATCTCTATAAAACCCTATTGCACTATTTAGTTCTTAGGAACTAGAAGTATTAATTCTAATAAAGCATCAAGTGAACATATTTAGATGATATTAATTGATGTTAACGTGTGCCGACACTCGGTCATCAACTTATGTGAGTTGAGAATTCATTGTTATAACTTAATTTAATTTAACTGGTCACTGTACTGGCTTATATTTTATGGATAAACATTTAAGATATAGAAAAGCACTTGTTAAGAGTTGCTTTACTTAACAAGTAACTGATAAATTGTTATTTTTAGAAGTTGTTGAATTAGCGTTGATTAGTACTTACGCCATTCATACGTCATTCCAAGAAATTGGACATGTCATTAAAACATAATGCTGTTCCCGCTGACCAAGCTTATTCTGAATCCTTTCTTTCAATATGTATAAAGAATAGCTTCAACCATGTGTCGAAAAGATACGAGTAAGATCTGACCAAAAAGTTGTGTAAAAGTTGTAGTGTGACAGCGATCACTTTGGAAGTAAGCTCGGTCAGGTGTTATACGTTTAAACTCCTCATATGTTAAACTTGTTTGTTCTAAACTAAAATTAGCCAGTGCTGAGTCTGTCTAAGTGAATTTTTGCATTTACAGCCAGTAACAGCCAAATCATACAAAATAAAAAAAAATTCAAATAATGTTTCAGTGTCCATATATTACTTTTATTATTCTGTATCAACTTATTCACAACTACTGGCACGCCTTGTGCGCGTTTCAAACTGGTAGGCTTTACTTATGAATGAATGTTACACACATTTCTGCGGTTACAAAAACATGTGTCTGAGCCGACTTAGCCGCGGTTTTACGACCGCATTCTGGGTACTGCAATCATTTTATTTTTAGAGCGGTCTACTGGACCTCTAGTGCGAGTAACCAGTTCAAAGATACGTACGTATGTACATCCCCAACATACGTACCGCAACATCTTTGCATTCTTTAAATTAACGCTTTTTCAAATTATAATTGAACGCATGAAGACTCATGATAAATTTGTTAATTAGGAATTTAAGAAAATGCTGTTCGTTAATGGAGAGGTTAATATTTTAAAACACCTGAATATTTATTGTCAACTGCGCATCACCACGTGCCACCAGTGTGGATAGCAACCAGGTGATATTTTGTGAAAGTATTTAAGTAATTCCAGAACTATATTAATAAAAATAAAATACGCTATACCGAGCAATAGTCTTTTTTAATGAGAAGTGAGAGAAAGAGAGTAGCGGTAGCACAGATGATACATATAATTTTAACATATATTAGATTAGAATTAGATTTTAGCATATTGGATTCAGTGTTGCAATTGATTTATTTCAACAGCAGGTAAGCATAGGTATGTGGTACTTGTAAAAAAACAATTGATTTTGAATTTTTTTGTATCTTATCAGTCTCTATCAACCACGGTCTCATCAAGCATTTCGTTTTTATTGAATTAACTTTATGTAAAAATAATATTAAACATAAAATTATAAAAATTTCATGT